AGGATAGTGCATCATTCGTATCTATAACCGCAGTTCAAAATATATGAACTTCATATATTCATCATACCAGTAATAACACTGTGTGGCTTCCTTTGACTTTTATCGTTAGGTTATTGTTCTCAGTTTAATGTAAGATGCGATGAGAAAAAAACTCGGCGCTTTTGACAATGGTTTAGAATGCCCGGCTTCCAAACTCTCATGGGGTCACTGTGTTTTGTTCTTGGGAATTCTTCTTCTCCCTAACAGTGTTTTTTTCGAACTACATGTGCGAGTATGAAGGGGTATTGACGAACAATCAGGTGTGACTTAGGAAACGCTACAAAGCGTGAAGTTTACTTTGTGTGCCCGACCTCACTGAACTTCAAGCTCACGGTAGTTTTACAAGGCGCAAAAAGTTTCTCCTTCTCCTCTTATGACATAATACATCGCGTAATAATATATATTGTGGCTCCCACAGGAGGATGCCTGGAGACCAATGTTTTTACATTATTAAATGATTTGTGTCATTTTCTTCGTATCAATAGTAAAAGTCAGCATTGAAAACACAACAACTGTACTTACGGAAGTACGGATGCTCCATGGCCTCTCTTGCTGTCAGGCGTTCCTGTTGACAAGATAATCAAATCGGACCAAAACGTCAGGAAATCGAATTTTCGTCCAGTTCACCCTCGTGTCAGCTTGTTCATGTGGCTGCTCGCAGAGGAGCTATCATTTTGAAAATCGTGTGGTCCGACAGTCCGTGTGATAAAGAGGCTCTTGTCTGTGAATTTGCCTAACATAACCACAACACCGGCGAATGTCATCATGAGGTTAAGTGAGCAGTGTTTAGTGTTGCAAGTTGGGCAAAACTGATCGGCGATTTTCTTCACAAACAAGACTTCTTACAATCGACTGAAAAACAACTCCTTAGACTTTGATTATGACTTTCGCTCGGGATGTCGTAACCCGAGTCCATGATGCAGCAGACGGAACATCGTTTGAAAGGAGCAGGGAAAAAAGAACAAAGAACAAAGAGCAAGGAGCAAAGAGCAAAGAGCTAAGTGAAAAGAAAACAGCAAAGCGCAAATAGCAAAGAGCAAAGAGCACGCATAATTTTTAAAAGAACATCGTCGACTCCGGTGATTTTCAGGTGGGGAAAAGACAAGGGATATACGATTGCCACTAAAACGATGCAGACACGAGAAAATGTATTTTTAATTGATTTACTTGTAATGTCTATATTGATTCAACATACCGCAATTTCGTATCTTAGGAGCTTATCCAGCAAGTCGATTGCTTCAGGGCTCACTAGAAGTTCATTCTCTGAATGTGTGAATCTCTCCCATCTCTTTCTTGAATGTCTATGACAAAACAACGAACAAACTTGAACATGCTGATGTGACACAGAAAAGAATAAGAGTATAACATCTACACATGGATTCGACTCCAAAAGTCGCTCCATTTCTGTGTAATTAATCGGCAAATAGTGTTACCAACACACCCGTAAGCCATCGCATTCGGTTAAACCATGAGTTCGGTAGCCTAGTATCGAACCGTGATAGAAACTCAACCGACCAGATGTTCTGACGTTCGAATCCTAGCGTGGGACACTTTTTCCCCCTTTGTTCGAAGCTCGAGACTAATACCTAGGGATGTTGTTCCATCTAACCGTTTCCGCCCCCAAAATTATCATAACATTTCCTACGTTGCTAACACAGAGAATTATCCTAACATTTCCTACGTTGCTAACACAGCGAATTTGTTTGACAGTCAGGAGCTTCTTGAATTGGCGATCATTTTCTTTATTCTCGTGACCTTTACATTCAATTTAAGGGAAACACTGCAAAGAGGAATTACAGCAGACGCCAGTCACGTGAAACACACGCAAGGATTAAAAGGTTCACATCAAATTTTTAGATTTAGAATTGAATTCATTACAAAGAGACACTGGGCGTTTGTTTGAAACGAATGTACAGCTGTATGGTAGGCACTGAAGAGGATTGTTACGTGCATCTTGCGAGTGAAAGGGCTAAATATCATCACCTCATTGCTGGCGCCCAAAATGTCAGCCAGACATTTAAAAAAAAACTAACCTCCCTAAGATGTCATTGAATCTTGGGTCTAATTCAATATGATACTTCTCGATATATTCAAACAGCTCATCTGTTCCTATCACTTTGGCAATTCTGACAAGCTAAGAAAGAGAAAATTAAATAAATCATGGGAAGAATGAATAAATAATGATGATAATAGTAGTAAAACTAGGTACGCAAAGGCACACAAGTGTCTAGTGCTAGCTAGTTGTTTGTATGCATTTTGAATTGTTGCAATTATCAGCAACATCTTTTTCAACAGGACCAGTTGGGANAACGTCTCCTACCCCAACCCTGCAGGAGACGGGACCTCCATTTATTCGTCCCTATCCGAGAAGACTAGAATATCTAACCATTTCTTGATGTTATAGAAAGGCAGCAAATTCTCCTCAATTATTTTAAGACCCTGAGTGTTGGTCCGGCCGGGGCTCGAACCCTCGACCTCCCGCACAACAGTCCAGCGCTCTATCCATTGAGCTAACCGGGAGGCGGTTGTGTTCACCCCTGACTCCTTCTCAGGGGCATATGGGCTATCAACAGTCTGTCTCCATACCCTCCTGGCCTGTGCAACTTGCTATGCATAAAACAAACATGCTGCTAATACTCTGGACATCAAGTTCTCTCCTCCCCAATCCATTGAAAGAAAAACTTTCAAGTAGCAATTCAGTCCAAAACATATGTACATTGATGTACATTTGAAAGCCTTATTCGTTTCAGTTTAAATTATCATAGGTTTTCATCAAAAGAAATCCTCACCGTACAGTATGCAGTATTTAGTAGGTCTGCTTTTATATCAGGAAGAAAATGTTGAATCAAGTTTTGGCCTTCATTAGGTTTTAAATGAGTATCCCTCTCTAATGAATCATTTAAAGCCCTAAAGTTGATGAGCCCCTTGGAGTGCTTTCAGAGTGTATATAAAGCTTTAAGGAACAATTTGACCTGTTTCTGGAGGGAAATTCGACAATTAACTCTGTAATCCTGTGTGTGGTAATAAAGTACTCTAGCTGTACATTCTACTGTTACAAAAGTATTCTCACTAGTTGGACAACACCTTTTGCACAACAATTTCATTCAGTCTCACAGCACAACCTCTCAAAATGGAACATGTGTTATCTAAATGGTTTGAAAATCCATTTGTCCCTTACCATGCTGGCAAGCATACAGCCAAAACTCCACATGTCTAAGGAGTAGTCGTACTCCTGAAATCACAAACAAAAGGACATCATCATGAATTTTTTAAAACGGTGAGTCCATAACCACAGTAAAAAGGAAATAACACATCAAATATATGGGAAATCTGACACAAAGGCAAAAGTAACAATATTAATGATCTAGCAAAAGTGAAAAGTAAAAAGCACACATCGAAAAGTATTTTTCTCTCAATGATAGGCCAGCATAAAAGATATTTGCCCTGTGTTACAAATTACAGGTATTCCGAATTCATGCAACAAGCACTTGAGACACATACTTGATGGTCAACCAGTAATTCAGGTCCTTTGAAATATCTGGAAGCCACTCGAACATTGTATTCTTGCCCAGGATGGTAAAACTCTGCCAGCCCCCAATCTATCAATCGGAACTGATGACAGCAAGGAAGAGAGAAAAAAAAAAACAAACAAACAAAAAAAAATGAATAAATACCAATAGAAAAAAAATTAGAAACAAAAGGACTGTGTAAAGCAGTAAGGAATCCAGCCTTAAAGATAATTATGATAGTGATAGAAATTAATAAATTAAATAAATAAATTTACAGCACATAGACATTAAAAAAAGTACTGTATAATAAAAAACTATACAAACCTGTCTTTTGTCATGGTCAATCATAACATTGTGAGGTTTTACATCTCTGTGCATTATCCCCATGCTGTGACAATAGTCCAAAGCCTGTGTTTATGAAAAGCAACAAGATAAAAAATCATGTTTATAGAGTAATGTATTCTTTGGCAAACATTACAAGTAAATAGGAAATCTACATGGTTTGAGGGTTCTTTAGATTTGATGCAAGAGGTTATGCACTACTTTTATACATTTAAGTCAATCATTTTACAATAAGCTCTGTTATCTCTGTGCCAGACCCAAAGGAAGAGTTCATTACGTGAAATGCCCCGAAACACAAATTAACAATTGGTGGGCCTTAAATCATGTGCCAAAAGCCCTCCTTAGTTTGCACCTTCAAGGAAAATACAAATACATGTGCACATAAAGGTCCGAGTTATCACAAGTAAAACTTTTGAGAAGAGGGCAAGGGAAATAACTTCAAGTTCAAGAGTGTTCTAGATATTATCAATTGAGTAAAATGGAAAATGGTACAAGGATTTCGTCCACTTACCTTCAAAAGTTCATATAAGTAGAATCTGATGTCATAATCGGAAAATTTCTGGTACAGTTGCTATGAAAATAAGACGAATTTGAGAATGATTCATATCTGCACACAACTTGAGTAAGTTACATTCATGATAATTAACGGCTCAATCAATGCATGGTATTCTAACTCACCTTAAAATCTGTGTTGTTGACATACTCAAAAACTAAAGCAGGTGTCCTAGACTGATGAAAGAAAATAAGATGTTAATTTTAAAAAAAGGCACATTTAAGAAAATATGTATGTCAAAAAATAAATATATATGTAAATATTTATTGACATACACGCTACTGTGAAATCTGTTGGCTCTTTACCTTTTATATAGGGTGGTATATACATGTCTGAATACTTAATCTATCCACTTTGGAACCTTAATTACTCATACAAGTGACATGTGCAAAAAATGTGGATGAACATGTAGACGGTGTGTGTTTTGGTTAAGCTTTTTCCTATGTTGTTTTTTTTTGTCCTATGTTGTTTTAGATACATAGAGTCCTTAGGTAAGGAAACTGGTTTGAAATAATTCTAAACTTTAACAAGTACATGTACTTCTTTCTACTAGAATTTTACTAGGCCTATACAGCATTTAAGAATATGCAAATTATTCACAAAAAGACATGTTAAAATTTATGAAAAATTAATAACAGCACTTAATTATCACAAAACAAATTACTGTGCATACCACAGGATCTTTGACAACGTCCAGAAGATTAATAATATTGGGACCTCCCCTCAGATTCTCAAGAATTTTAATCTCTCTCTTGATTTTCTTCTTTTTAACCGGCTGGAATTGAAACATGCAGTAGTTTTCAGTTTCTGTAGTCACATGATTTATGATTTGACACTACAAGTGGCACAGTTTCAGGAAGATTCAACTATGTACATACATTACTATTTTTACTGGTTCCCATGTAATAAAAGGATAATCTTCAAGTCTATAAATTACTTTCTTCTGATTAATCAATATCTCCCTCAAGATTTTTCTCAAAAAATGCAACAAGAACAATTTGGAATTTTTGTCCTTTATCAAACATGCAGGACTATATAATAGTTTGGACTACATATTCTCAAAGAGAGATTCCAATGAGTCCGAGAATATCAAATAATCAAAGGTTTTCTATTGGTTTGTCCGGCTAGAAGTTAAAACTGATTTTGTCTAGTTTTTTTACCAGAGGCCATTCTAACTGGAATGTTCACTGCCAGTAGTTTAGGATGATATCAAGCTACTATGATCCATAACTAGTTTGAATTGTGTTAAATGTGCCTGGTACAAAAAGGATAAAACATCAAACTAGCTTTAATTCATTTTGGCCTGAAATTCATTTTAAACTACAACACTTATTTAATAGTGTTCCAGGTATTGACATATCAGCATTTTGCTGATCAACACCTTTTTGCAAAGGAGTAGGTCCCACTTTTTCCAATATTGGATTTTCTTTCCAATCCCTACATGTAATACACCCCATAGCATAACAAGGTTCTAAACTGATTAGCACATTTACAATTTATCATATACAACAACCTTCATGAGAGGTGTTGCATCAAAAATTCAAAGGAACATGGTCACTAAGAAACTTCACAAAATGGCAAAACTGCTATTTTCTATTTGGTCACAACAGAAAATTTGGACAAAACTTAATAAGGAAGTCCCCTTGTTCATGGATTTTCTCTGAAAAACAGTTTGTACATGTACATGTACTATGACTGTTACTTCTTTTTAACCATCCCCACGACACAGCATGGGTGTTCAGCTGTGGTTTGCCAACTCCAGGTATACATCTGTATACATCTGAGGGGGCACAGCACTATGACTTCCATGCATATTAAAGTAAAGCCGTATATGTACACGTAGAAAAGAGGAAATAGTTTTTGTTTTTTTTGTTTTGTTTTGTTTTTTTTTTTAATAGAGTTCTTAAATCTCTTGGATTATTCCCCAGTCTCTTGAAAAACAAACAAATCTCCCAGTCTCCCTGCCCACCACAACACATATTTATACAACTGACGTTTACAATAATGTGCTGCAAGATCCACACATGCTCACACCACACCAAAGACAAAGTAAAATACTGACCTTTAAAATTTTAACAACCACTTTCTCCATCTCCTCACTTGACACATTTATTGCTTCAAACACTTCACTATATTTTCCTCTACCCAGTTTCCGAACAAGTTCATAGTTATCTTGTTGCCTGAACGAAAGAGAGACTAACCATTAACTTTTACTACAAAAAGTCTGACTTAAAAAAATTACAGAGCACTATCGATACTGTTCCCCACAATATCAATTTTCTTTGTACTTGTTTTTAGCATCCCTTTTTTTTTACTTTGGCTTATAATAAACAAGGTGCCTAATGATATTGAAAAGTAATTCCTTAAACCCCAAGAGAAAGGAAAGTAAAAATGAAATAGAGGAGGCAAATGGCCATGAATTGCATTTGTATCACAGTGTATTGAAGATAAGAGCAAATGATTTTGGCTCTTTCCAAAATTATTAGTCATTTTGTCACATGCCCATGACCAAATATAGCATTTACTTTTCAGATACATTCACTAGTTTCCCAGATATACATGTGCAACAAACCCTTCGGCCTCTACAGTTTCCTAGCAGATGAATTTGGATTTTTGAAATTTGTCTGGATTTAAAGTTTGTTTCATACAATCTGCCATTACTTAATAAATCTGGGAAAGGAGGTGGGATGTGATACAAACTTAAGCACTTCATGATTTTAGTTCTTGAGAAAATAACACCTCTGAGAAATTTACATCGACAGTTTGGATGAACTTGAAGGTTGTAAAGTAGCGCTGTCAATACATAAACAGAAAATGTAAAAAGTTTACGGTATACCTACATGTTCATGTAATGATGCATTAACAATTGTTTGACACAAGATGTGTATTTTTCACTCTATTTCACAATGTAAATTTGACAATGTTAATGTTTCTCTCAGGCTCTCAAAACTTCCTGCCTGCTTCATATCCCCATGAACACAAGCTAATGTATGAACCAATGTTTATTTTAAGATACTATTTTCCCTTTATGGACCATGGTGACATAAGCAATACTATAATTCTGCTAAAATGGCAAATTCAATTACTTGCACTTGAGCTGAATTTCATTAAATATTTATCTGTCTTTCCCTCATGATGTTGTATGACTTATGTGTGATGGTAAATTCTGAAAATTTAACACTTTAGTCAAATGCTTTTCTGCAATGGCAGTTAAACCATGGCGGGAAAGTAAAATTTTTATAGCAGAGAAGGCCAGATGTGAAAAATCCCCTTGGGACAAGGCATTTCTTCAAGATTAAACAAAACCAATCTTCATGAAAAATATTAAAAGCTAAGCTCTATGGCAACTCTGATTTAAATATCAAATAGATTACTAAGTTTAGAAATTTTAATCTAAAAAAATCAGTTCATCTTGGCTCTCTATAATACCACAAAATAGGTTCTAAATTCTCCTCTGAAATCTTTAACTGCCTTGTACACACAGTGCACATCAAAGGTAAGCTTACAGATGCCTCGCATAATTTAGCCATCAAATGTCAATAGAATATGAAATTGCATATACTAGGGCTGGAAGTCAAGTGAATACAGAACCTTATGGCGTATGCTAGGTTGAAATGTGTAATATCACGTTAAAAGGAAACTGCTTTTCGCAAATAACAGTTTATTATCCTTAGTTAGCAGACTAAGGCCATTCTGCCGCCATTAGCAGACTAAGACCATTCTGCAGCCACTCTGCCTCGTTTCGGACAATACACCACGTTGGTGCACAGCACTTCTGCTTGCCCAAGGCTTAGCTGGATTGCTAATCAGTTCAACAAAAAAAAAATACCCCTTTCACAAAGGCGTCTGTTTACCCACTGATTTTGACGTCTAGTAAAAAATACAATGGGTAAGAATGAGGAACACTTACCCCCATTCAATGACATGCGATTCGTAATCCCAATATTCTCTGGGCCGGTGTACATTCACGTCCGAGTAGACTCTGGCACGAGCTGTGTTCGCCATCGCTCTGATAAACGCTTTCTTCTCGGCTGATTTTGCCAAAGTAAAAGTTCTTCGGCAGCAGGTCTGATATATCGACCAAAATAAAGAGCGTCTTATACTTGCTGTTTGCGTGTCACTCCTTTACAATCAGTTCCAAGCACTAGAAATTCGACTATAGCGAGCTCACCGGTGTCGTTCCAAGCCCAAATGTCTCTTTTGAACAATTTTTGGCCCTGATTCTTATCACTTTCCCAACTATTTTCTTCACAATCGCGCTATCATTCACTCTGATAATTCATGGGAAAGTCTCATGCATGAGACATTCTGTAAAGGTATATACCTCAGAAAAAGGAGCACTCGAAGCTATTGAAAGAATATGGCGGCGGCTGAGACTCAGGAAATCAGATAAGTCGCTTTAGGCGAAAGCGAGGCTACCAAGGCCTGGGCCAAGGGGGAACCAATATGGCGGCTGGCGCGTGGAATTGGGTATGACTCGTTTTTCTGAGACATCTCGACGTTTTTATTTAAAAAACTCAATTGCTCCATTTGAAGAAGACTCCACTCATGAGTTTAAGGGTCATAGAAACATAAGTGCTGAGGAGGTTCCACCTTGGTGTTATTTTCCAGGGACAGACCGGCGATCACGAAAGGCGGTTTCAAGGTAATTATGCATCCAAGTTTACTCAGAAATAGTTCCATAGATGTCATAATAATACCCTTTATTTCAATATGAAGCTTTTTAATACTTAATGGAATAAATAAGGTTGAGAATATGAAGTAATCCGTAGTGCGTTGGGGTCAGCATAGTAAGCTTTTGTTTGCATATGCTGCAAAAACCTGTAAAACTTGTCGAACTGTCACATGATCGTCTACTTTTTCACAGTTAAAAATACTTTTATATTTTTTAAGTAAATAAATCCCGTTAGACAGCTGGTTTGTCAGCCGATAACATCAACAGCTGAGCCATTGTCTGTAGAATGAACAATTTTGAAATTTTAAGGACAATCTCAGCCGGTCGGCATTTGTTAAATCTTTTGTACTTTTTGGGGTAGAGATCAGCTTTTTACTATCACTATCACTGGACTCTACAAAACAGCTTCATTCTTTTTCCATGTAAGAAATTAAGATGAAAAAGTGGAACTCTTAAGCTGGTTTTTCCCTGCAGGCATAATGTAGCTAATGGAGTGGCCTGAAAATTAATGGGTGGGTAATAACAGCTGCTATGATAATAGTCTTTCTCTATAAAGTTATCCTGTGTCTTAAGGTAAAAGTTGGGTATTTTAAGAAAGTATAGGCTTAGAATTTTCAGAATGCATTTGTTACCTTTTCATAGCTCAAGTTGCTAAGTACAGCTGTAGGTGAGTCAGTAAGTAACAATTCAATTAAAATACAGTGGCATTAAAGCTTAACAGCTCACAGGGTTGTGTTATAATGACAAAAGTAATGCTTAAAAACCTATATGTGTACAAATGTAAACCTTTCAACAGCACAAGATCCTATCCGATCGATAATTATACTTGTAACTTGTAACAGAGTAAACTTGTTTATCTTTTAATATGGAGGTGTTAAAGGTAAAAAGTTAACTTTTACAAGCAGATGGTACAGAGGGAAGGGTCTATAATGAATTACAGTGGCTAGTCTTGCCTCTTAAAACAAAGTGTGATCAAATTCAGCACTGGGTGGGGCTGTTCAGGGCATTTCCACTCATGTAATGTATCATGAAGTGTCCCCATTCTGTTTTGTTTTTTTTTTTCTCAGTTTGGGAAGGGAAAGAGGGGGTTGGCGGGGCGACTGAATTTTTATTATGGCAACCATTTTCAATTGAAGGTCGCCAAACAGCGACTTTTTGAAAAATTGAGCTTGGGGCACTGCATAGGGATTATCACAAAATTTTCTTTCATACTTTTTTTCAGGAACATCAATGGGTTTCTGAATACTGGTAAAGGTGGAACCATTTATCTTGGAATTATAGATGAAGGCAAGGTGAAAGGCTTACTACTGACACAATATCAGGTGAGAACAATTGAATTTGAATTTGCTGTGTTAGTAATGTTTTAGGTTGAACAATGCAAGGACCCTGTAAATTTGACCACTGACTTCTGATGATAGTTATTGTTAATTTATCTTTAGAGAGATCATGTCAGAATTGCAGTTAAAGATGCCCTGAGTAGATACACTCCTCCAGTTCCTGAAGAACGTTACAAAGTAAGCTGTTGATGGGGAAAATCTTGTGATTGTTACTACCTGAAGCTCTCCTTTGATATTCTATGAGGGATTTACTCTCAGATTTAAACAGAATTGAAAAGTGTTTTAACCATGTACGTCCATTCTTTATTCATTTAAGGTTGATATTGTACCAGTCATTGATCCTGAAGAGAAAATAGAAGAGTCAACAGCATTCATTGATCTTCAAGATAATGGGTAAGTATTTACAAAATTACTGCACTGAATGGTCAATGCCAGTATTTTTTTTTTAAACAGTGATTATTATTTTAGTATTTAATAGCTGATGGTGTGTCATGTGATTTACTGAGTGAGGGTTATCCTTAAAGAACAGTTGTCAAGGGGACTGACGTATGTTTTGACAACATGAGCAGTTATGTCTTAATTTGACTCATACAGTGGCCCACAAGTGCACACCGAATTTTAAAACTCTACGCTGAATTCCAAATGCCCACACCAAATTCAAATTGTTCACACCGAATTTTAAATCTCCACACCGAATTCTAAATCTCCACACCGAATTTTAAATTTCCATACCGAATTCTAAATCTCCACACCGAATTCTAAATCTCCACACCGAATTCTAAATCTCCACACCGAATTTTAAATCTCCACACCGAATTCTAAATCTCCACACCGAATTCTAAAAATAATTATCTTTACACCGAATTCTAAATCTCCATGCCGAATTCCAAATCCCTCGCGCCGCAAAGTATGCCACACACTTCTATAACCTGACAAACATCCAGGTCCATTCAGCTCTTCATGTATTCTTGCTCTTACATCTTGATCGTCTTAATCTAAAAGATTTCCTCTGAGGCCAAGTGACTTGAACCTTTCCTTTAGCGTTCTCAAGCTCATGTGGATTCCATGGTACTTTTGCAAAAAAACACAAAATAACTTCATACTCGTACCCCTCATTAAAGTAATACTTTATCGTTAGCTTTTCGAAATCAAGCTCGATACTGCAGTTGGAACAAAATCGGTTAATAGATATCTTTACGCCACAATCATCACAAAGTCATTTTAACGCTACTGTTCCAGTCGCCATTTCCTTTTCCCAATTCAATGAAACAATACTCAGTCCAGTCTCACAGATCTTTGGAATTCGGTGTGAGCAATTTGAATTCGGCGTTGGGATTTAGAATTCGGTGTGGAGATTTAGAATTCGGTGTGGAGATTTAGAATTCGGTGTGGAGATTTAGAATTCGGTGTGAGCAATTCGAATTTGGCATGGGCATTTGGAATTCAGCTTAGAGTTTTAGAATTCGGTGTGCACTTGTGGGCCACTGTAGACTCATATATGAAGCCTTCCTTATAGGTTTTCAAAATAAAAGTTTCTATCACTGGCAACAGATCTGTTCAGGACTACCATCACCTGTTTATTGCATTATACAATCAACAACACTGCATGTTTTGCTACTCCCAGATCAATCAAATCATTTGCCATGTTATTACTAGATACAAGGCTACCAACAGGTTACAGGAAAATCATATGAAAAGTATAATATGATCATTTAAGTGGCAATTCTGAAGGAAAAACATGCATTGTGTAGTTGTTGTGCAGTTCTTGATCGTGGCAGTTTATGATTCTTCTTTTCATAAAAATTATAATGTTATTAATGGTTTCATAGCTTTGCACTCATGCAGGCAATGAAGGGGTTGACATGTTCCAACAATGGCATAACAAATATGTTTCTAGAAAGGAGATGGCTTGATGGTGAAGATCACAACCATGTGCAAAATATTGTACAAATAAATTAAAGAAGTTTACCTAAATTGTGAATGTTATTAAATTATATAAATTGAACATTACTGCAGCATCCTGGCCATAATTTGTTTACTTATACATGTGATAAACTTTGAACTGTTAACAACATTTTTGACAGTACAGTAATGTCACATCATGTGCTCCTTGTTCATTGCACTTGTAGTTGCAGTGAAGTGGACAGTACTCGCCTGAGGCCACACATCCTTAGAACATCTGATTACTGCTGGTGTGATAGCCATGCTGTGAAACAATTTTCTGAGGTAATGAACTGTATTAAGGAGACACTGAGCACTAACAGGATATTTTTTTGCATTCATGAGTTCACTTTTTTTCTGGTCATTTTCGTTGATTTTCATTTCGTTATAGTTCATTTAAAAATTAAAATAATTCTTTTTCTTTGCAAGCCAACTTCAAACACTGGATAACGAAGTTTAAATCTTTAAAGAGGAATTCACCTCACAAAAAATTTCAGTTTTGACGTAAAACATCAACAAAATTATTATTAATATCAGTGAAATGTCACCAAGCCAAAGTCACTTGCATTTACCAGGTGTGATTACTGTCAAGATTACTTACAAGTTAAAAAAATAATGGACAAGGAATTGTTTTTCTGTTGTCACTCTTTCCATTTAAATGGGAATAACTATTAGTAATAAAATGGGAATTTATCAGTGGACATTCCACTAGGTGGCTCATCTTGTCGCCTGTTTCCAGATCAAATTGGAATTTGGAGTGTTGAGGAAAACTGAACACACATGTGATGCCAAGTCCAGGAATGGTATCTTGGCCGCAGTGGTGGGAGGCAAGCTCTCTCACCACTGTGCCTTACCTGTTCCTTCTCTCTCATCTCTCATCATTCAATCAATCCTTTATTTAAACACGTGACACCTAGGAGTACAGAAGTTCTCGTTAAAACATGTACGTGTATGTACAATTAGAAAGAAAACATAATTTCTGTAAGAATACAAATAATAAGTAGATCTATTAAATAACTAAAAACAGGATCGAAGATCATGGACAAGAGCTATCAACAAAAATTTACAATATTAACAATATTAACAATAACAACATTTTACAATCACTACTGCTAAGCCATGTGGGCTTTAAGATAACGCTTGAATGAAACAATATCTTGAGATTCTCTGAGTTTAGGGGGTAGCGCATTCCAAAGTTTACTAGCTAAAAATGTGGTTGAGGTTACTGTGTTTCCTTAAAAAAAATAAGATGGACAATGAATTGTTTCTAGTGTTGACGCTCTTACCATTTAATAAATTAAATCTTGTATTTTTTAAATTTTGTTCCTTTTTTCTTAGGGATTTCTATCCTCTCTCTATGTGGTTGAGATTATTGTGTTTCCTTGGAAAAAACAGCAGCTTAAGATAGAGAAAGGCCGCATTGAGTTTGACCTCCATCCAGTGTATGAAGATGAGGAGGGCAATTGTCACTTTAGAAGACAAGCAAGCTTAGTGCAGGTAAGTTGAAATGGATGTCCTACTTTTTATCTTGAAATGAAATAATTATCTATAGTTTCCTTCTCTATCTGTCTTGTTAAGTTTCAGTCCTTATTTCTTCATTCGCCTTGAGTGCTAAGTTGTTAAAATTGTTTTGGTGAAAAAGATATACAGGAGACTCCAGATAACTTGAACTCAGACCAAAATCAATTTCCCCTGGATTTCTGCAAGTTATACCAGTTCTCTATTGAAAATTTACCCTGGCTTAGTAACTCGAAGAGTTAATCACTCAAACCTTGTGCCAACTCAAATTAATTTCCATTTTCCTTCAGGGTATTCTACCCTCAATAACTTGAAGCATGTTGAACCATGTTGAACCATGTCTGTCAATATGTGACAAATTAGAACAGTGTACTGCAGTCCAAAACATTAGCTGTAATTTATTTTGAAGCAGCCATGTCATCTTTGTCCATTTTTGCATTACTCAAAACATGTCAGTCCTGTTCAGGTGTCCTTGGTTTGGGGTACATTTTACTACAGTGCCCGAGTATTCAACTCCCAGTAACTGGAACTCCCAATGACTCAAACTTTGAAGTTTCAAGTTATCAGGAGTCAACCGTAATCTTATCCGAATAATTATTAATCCCTTGCAGTACTCAGTTCAAGAAGTGGTGGAACTTACCAAAGCAGAAATAAAAAATCACTTTATGCCTTTACTCTTGAGGTAATTACAACATAATTATTATAAATTATGACCCAAATAGAAGGTGATTCAAGAAAACATTTTGTTTTTAATTTGATGGAATACCTCATGGCAGTTTAAAAGATACGGTGCAGTTTTTCAACTTAAATTGATAGTAACCTTAAATTTAACATGAAATAATTATTGTTTTACACAGTAATACATACACTACATACACATGTTTCAAAATTGAATATTATAAAGTCCAGTTAAATGGCATCTCTGAAGATAAGATGAAAATTAGATTTTGGAGTTACTCTCTTTGAGGAGGGAGCTCTTGATTTCCCTCAGTATAACACAATGTCCACATTGCATAGCTAAAATTAATGTTTATATTAGATAAAAGATACATCTGTTCTTTGATTATAGGGTTACCAAATTAAACTATTTGGGTGTGAGTGGCAGTCACCTTGTTTTTTTTTCTTTGTCTTTTTCTTCAGTCTCAAAGAAGAGATTAAAACCATTGGAGAGCAGCACAAATTAAATGGCAGACACTAGCCTGAAGGAGCTCAAGTGCATGAAAGAACATCACAGCTGCCATACTTTTGGATACTTTGCTTTAGTTTCCCAGGAGTTTGCTTGAGACAGCTATCAACAAAAATGCCACTGCCTTAAAGCAGTTACAAAGCTAGCATTTTTTTGTGAAGGGAGATGAAACAGTTTAGTGTGAAGAATGACTGTAAGGATCTGAGGTCCCTCCCAGATGAAAAGGATTTGGTTCTGCAGTATCCTTATACTTTGTATTCAAACTCCCTTTCCCTTCTCCTTTCCCTTTGTACTGTACACTGTCCACTCATGTCGAGACCATCCTTCTTGCCTTTTTAGGATTGCCAGGATGTCGTTTTCTCTCAACATAATTGACCCCATGTCAAAAATTTCACCAAAGGATCATCTATAATAATTATGCAATAAATGGTAGTATCAAATGGAGTGGCATTGGTGGGTTGAAATGCCCCTAATGGCAACCTACCAGGGCTTTTGGTAAGTGGGAGGTCACATGTTACCAGGGGCAAAGTTCTCAACAGTGTACCCACAGGCATTCCACGCTCATGTCTTGCAAAAAAGCAAAAGGTTAATTCCTGAAAGTGTCACCCATTGTGGATAATTTGAACATGTTATAAGGAGTAGTATGAGAAATGAAATGTGGTTGAATTACAATGCTACACATTCTGAAATATGAATGTTTTATGGGCTTTCATGAATTAGTCTATTGCTCTTTCTTGAGACATGAGCTTGGGATACCTGTGCATTATTTATTAAACTCTTTTCAATGAAAGGGTGGGAGTTCTAAGTGATTTCAAAGCTTTTGGAAATACAATTTACAGCCAAACTTTTGACATAGATGACCTTCAAATCTTTATACCTGTACTTCTCTACCAACTCCCTGATGCTTTGATCATGGCCATTAGTTGAAGTACAAAGAGAAGCTATTGGAGATTTTGTTCAAACTTTGGTTTTTGTTTGATTGTTTTGCTAAGTTCAAGAACCTTACACTATCCCAATTTAGTTAACCTGGTTATCAAACAAGAAATGTGCAGTAGTATTTTTACCAATCAATTTTGTATATTAATTTTTTTATCGCATGTTTTACATGGAGATAATATAGAGATGTACCATTAAATTTAAAATATGGTTTGAATTGTTATCTTGTACCTTACTGTACAGTTTCTTTCATGCACAATAAATTTCACAAGAATGCTTACTTCAGTCAATTTTTATTCCAATAATTGCTTTAATTTATGACTGGCAAACAAGATTGACACCAGCGAGTGTTCAGATCAATGCTACGGTGTTGTCTTAGTTAACCTTTTAACTCTCAGAAGTGATTAACATGTAATGTAACTTCTCCCTTTAATAATCAAGCATTATCCAGTAAACCAGTCATGGGAATACTCAAACTTATCATGTAGTTGTTGATGTAACACCAATTTCTCCAAACTGATTTACATGGAAATGTGTAACAGTTTCAGGGGAGAGTACTGTAAACAATCAGATCTTGAGAGTTAAAGGTTTAATAGTAAAAAAAAAAAAGGACTGAAACTATGGTAACTTCACTCATTGTGTATACTACATTTTCCATTTCTTTTATTTCCTAAGGGGTTCAAATTCTTTATTTCTTTTACATTTATTTATTCAAGAAAACTAAGCTAAAGATGCACTGTTAAGTCCATGTATTACTATTTATCTGCTCTACAGACAAAATTGCCATTTCAACATTTCCACTTTGGTAAAAGAAACAAAGCCAAAACTGCACTGTTTTGTCCACATTGGTTTGCTCTTTACAGACCAAATTACCATTTCAACATTCCACCATGGTAAAAGAAACAAAACCAAAGATGCACTGTTTTGCACTGTTTTGTCCACAGATTAACATTTGTCTGCTCTTTACAGACCAAATTGCCATTTCAGCATTTCCATCCTGGTAAAAGAAAACTAAGCAAAAGATGCACCATCTTGTCCACAGATTAACATCTGTCTGCTCATTACAGACCAAAATTGTCATTTCAACACTAATTTTCCACCCTGATAAAGGAAAAGTAAGCAAAAGATGCACTGTTTAGTCCACAGATTAACATTTGTCTGCTTTTTCCACACCAAATTGCCATTTCAACATTTTCACCCTGAGAAAACAAAGCCAGAGATACTCTTTTGTCCACAGATAACATTTGTGTGCTCTTTACAGACAAAATTGCTATTTCAACATTTCCACCCTGATAAAAGAAAAACTAAGCAAAAGATGCACTGTTTAGTCCACAGATCAACATTAATTTTGTCTGCTTCTTACGGACCAAACTGCCATTTCAATATTTCCACCCTACTAAATGAACACTGTCAATGATTGCTCTGGTCTTCTTGAGCTCCGACTAGTTGTTTAATGTTCTTTTTTATGTCAAGCATTTGTTAGCCTCCCACACTGATGTTCTAGGATAGTTAACAGGAAAAAGAGCATCTGATTCTAAAGGAAGCTGAATGTAGGATAAAACAAGCAGAAGTGAGGTGTTATCTTAGGATTCTTTCCAGCTTCAAAAGAGAGCTTGGTGATGAAAAAATCATTTTTGGGTTAAAGAAAATAGGAAAATGTTAGAAAACAGAAAGAAAAAATAGATAAAATATTCAAAGCTGCCTCCAGTTTAGGATCTGTTGCAGAGTGCTGATACAATATTAATGCTTCAAAATTGACTTGACATCTCTTTGGACTTGGTTCCACTATAATTGAACCAAATAAGCACTATTTTTCCTCAGGGATTGCTGTGAAAATCCTCAAGCCATGCATGCTTTTGACTTCATCTCCAAGGGCCTACAATTTAAAAAACCAATAATTTAATGATGAAAAACTTTGCGTCAATACGAGTTTGATTCATTGCTCACTAACATGATACAAACTATAAATTATTTCAGTGAGTAAATTTATCAGTATAGAGAGATCAAATGTAACATTGCTTAGTATCTTTAGCCCTTAATTTAAACCCCAAGAGTCACTGATGTCTAATTTCTCTTTATAGTATAACCCTTGAATCAAATGAAAGGGTCAGAAGAATAAAGGAAAATTAATGATCAGCAATTTATGAAGCTCCTGATTGTCAAAACAATTCTCCTTTTCCGGGGCTTAACACTAACTTTACAACTTACTAGCCGAGTGGCTAGTGACAACTTAGATGTTACAACAATTTCAGTTTATTTACTAGCCAAACTGGCTAGTGGAAATCGAAAACCACTGGCCAAACTGAATTAATTTTCTACTAGTCTGTGACTAGTTGGCGACACCATTTTCAGTACCAGAGGAAATGTAAAGAGAAAAGTGTTGATAATATACATTGCGATGTAAAGGGTTTCATAAGAGATTAATATGCTTTACAGCGAAGAAATACATTGATTTTAAAATTTATCCAGTCAAACATAATAGTTCCTTTCAATACTTCAAGGAGTGGTAAAATAATGACCTGTACTTACATTATTGACAAGGCGATGCTGTTGCACTTGCCTCTTTCCTCTGAAGTCTTCGGATTCAACAAATATTTCATACATGGCACCACATCCACCTGTATGCACATATGATGAAATTGCAAAAATATTAATGAGTAACATAATAATAATTATAGTTATTTTTCATAATGCAAGTTTATTCATGAGTAATAACTGCTTTGAAAAGATACCTCAATTCCACTATATACAGTTTTTGCTTTTGTTTGTTTGCTTGCTCTTCTCCTTGAGGGACCAGTCATGAATTATTGCTTGGAGGGGGAGAGGGGGGGTGTGGGGAAGTTGGGGATTTTTGGGGGCCACATGGCTTTCAGGGGAAATGGAGGGTGGATCAGACCAAAAAACACCCCCTCCCCTAGGAAAAAAGTAATGACCAACCCTTTACTTTTTCCCTCTCTTGGCGGTCAGTTTGTTGAGAATTCGTGTTTACCAACCTGAAATGTCCTTGACAGCAATTTGTGAAGCACTGAAATTCTGTTTTAGAATTTCTGCAATTTTCTTTTCACCTTCAGACTCGGCCTGTACTTGAAGAGATCTACGAAAAACCCCACGAGATAGCAGACCCTAAAATGATAGTAATAATAATGATAAAATTAATTACTAAGATTCCCTATCTAAATTACTTAATTAAATTCTTCCATGCAGAATCAGGCTAGTTGCAGCTTACGCAATAAAATGGCTGTTTAGATTGGCTCTCGTGAAACAAGCAGGGTACATAAAAAAGATTAACGTTTCTCATAAGATAAACAAGCCGATAAATGGCGAGTAATGGGAATTTGTCGGATATAAACTTACCAAAAGCCGTCCTTTTGCTAGTACGGTGCGACTCATGACAAATTCCCAGGATGGAATTAGTCGTAAATGCAGAGCTACACATCAAAGACCTTTACGCTGACTAGTTGTTAGTGCAGTTTCACTTCTCGGCCCCCAGTACCCGATGCAGGGAAAATGGCAACTTTTTATCGTTTTAATGAGCAGTGCTTGGCAACTGATCCTAATAGCTGAGTATTTTACCGATAAAGAGGCCAATGGAATATTTTCAAATGGTTGGTTACATTTCTGAATCATTTTCTCTGATTCTCTCGTTCTACTTCATATGAAAAATATTAGCTTAGGATGGCCTCTCCATTCGCCTCGATCCTCAGGTCCCTCCTCCTTTTCTCTTTAGCTGGGGACTTCTCCTTGAGAATATATCTTTAAGAATTTTTAGAGCCGGGATTGGATTTTTCCTCAATGAATTTCTTTTTGATCGTTTATGGAGTAAGAAGGCTTCCTTTTTTTCGTTCTTCTGATCGATGACAAAGGTAGTGGAGGCGAAGGGGTAAATCTGTGAGTGTCACAAATCTACTGACACGCCCATCACACATTGAGCGGCCTCACATCCATTTTCTTTCTTTGAGGGGGGGGGAGGAGAGGGGAGGTGATTAAATTTTTCTCTCTTGATGGTTGTTATAGTTATTTCCCATGTAAATCATAAAATGTATTTTCAAATGAACTGATCCAATGCTTAGCTTGTGCAAAGGGTGAGAGATAATTATACCTCAGGTGAAAGTCAAAATGTAGACAACCCACTTGCATCACAATCTCCAGAGTAAGGAAGGTGCACATTGATCTGAGGAAGAGTAATTTTCTTAAACTTTCATTGTTCATGCCAGAATTATAGCATTCTGTTAACCAGCTGTAAAGCTTAGAGGCAGTTTAGTATAACCACATATGTAAATGCGATGCTTATGGTGCATGTATCTCAAAATGGCTTTACATAAATACAAGATCTGCCATATTCTGCAGAATGGCTAAGAATTTGTTGGTTGCTAGTTCAAATTTGTTGGCATAAACTAGCTTGCTTTCAGATTTTAATATTTCCCTTCATGGCCAGAGGTCTGTAAATGAGAAACATGCCTTACTGAGAGGTTTTTTCTTGACCTTTTTCTTTAGGAAACTGCTCTTTACCACCAGATTATGATGTAGTTATCGGTATCTTATCAGCAAGGGGTAATACAGAGCAGCGCCAAGCACTCAGAGAAACATGGGTTGGACATGCCCTACAACACCCCTCCTTGAGACAAAGGTATAACTTCATGTATAATTGAGTTTTATCTCCATCCATACCCTTTAGGACTGTATACTTTGTGTTCTTGATGAAATGTTTTCGATAAAATTATCTCATTGATTCTATTGGTAATGTATAGTTTAAAAACTGTCTGATCAGAAATTTATATAAACAGTGTCTCTTTGAGATGATCAACTTTGAAAATACAGTCTATTATGTTGTTCGATAATCCAGTGCACATGTTGGTCATAATCATTTTAATTTTCTCTTACGTGCTCAACAGGATAATGGTCAAGTTCATAGTTGGCAATCAGCCATGCCCCATACCAGCATTAGACAGGCTTGATCAATATTCTTGTGAACCAGATGTCATTGTTGACCCAGGTATTTTAATCCTTTCACACTCTTCTTCTTTAATATATATAACTGGTCTATCAATACATGAAATATGATTTTTCACTTTGAAACTAGTCATTGGTAGATTCGTTGGTGAACTAAAACAAACGTTTTGCATGACTGATACCTGCTGCTTATATCTAGTCAATCACTTTTTCGAGTAAATGTTTGAATTTCAAATTCTCACTTTGTAAAACAAATCCCCTTCCACCCACCCCCTCGATTTCATTGCCAGTGTTCATTTGGTATCAACTAAGGTAGCAGACTTGATCAATATTCTTGCGAACCAGATGTCATTGTTGACACAGGTATTTTAATCCTTTCACACTCTTCTATTTTAATATAACTGGTATATTGATACACGACATTATGATTTTTCACTTTGAAACCAGTGGATGCCTTTATTTGAAAATAAAAATAAACCTCAGGGTAGTCCCGTCAGAAGCCCTAAAGAGCTAATTAACCTGCGATCAATCGGAGCCCGTAGTCATTGGTTGATTAGTTGGTGAACTAAAACAAACTTTTTGCATGACTGATACCTGCTGCTTATAGTCAATCACTGTTTTGAGTAAATGATTGAATTTCAAATTCTCACTTAATTTGTAAAACAACCAGTCCCCCCCCACCCACCCACCTCCTAGATTTCATTGCAAGTGTTCAATAGGTAAACTGGACTTCAAACTTACTGTCACTCTTAAATTAAGGAGTAACTGCTTAATCACGGTCTTCATTCTATCATAAATCCCTTTTCTAGGTCTGATCAGATCTCTTACCCTCTCCTCCCTGAACCTACCAGGCCCTTCTCCCTTGCCTCCCCCTTAAAAAACATTCATTTGAAATCAATTAAAACAACACTAGGCAAAATGATAGTTGAATGACTATCATGTAAGACTGATTGTATGAACCCTATCACAGACCTTCCTATGGGCTGTGCACATTGAGGTATTTCAGTTCAAAATGTACTTTTGCATATTGTAGGTGCTATTAATTAAGGCTGGAAAAAGGTTCAGAAGAAAACAGTGAGTCAACTGTGGTTCTCCATGAGTTTTTCCAAAAGCACTTCCTTTCAACAAACCCCCAGTTTAGGAGTCCTGGGAATTGATAACCCCCAGGAACTTATGATTCATTAATTGAATGTAACTTAACTACTTTGATTTTCTTTTTCAGTACTGAAGGAAGACATTATAGCTTACAAGGTTCCTAGAGGAGCAGTTGGATATCACTCTTACAATGGTCCCCTGGGTATGGACTTTAGGGTAAGTGATTTGAATGACTATCAGATAGAAACTCTTGCAGGAATTCCCAACGGTAACTCCCTATGGGGTGCGCTAATTATAAGTGGCAGGTGTAGTAGACAGGACGCTTTTCACTTGGAAAAGGAACTTACTTCCTAATACATTGTCTCTTTTCACCTAAGCATAAAAAAAATTAATGTGTGTAAACTAGCTGCAGAGTAACTTACCTCAGTTGCTTCATACAGCAGAAGCTATGATAAGCTTTGGCAAATGATGCAAAATTTGGTGCATGCATATCCTTTTCCCTATTGTTTATACTCTGGTAAATCGTCTGAAACTGATTTCCATTAAGACCTTCCAGATCTTTTGTTTCTGTGATTTGTATGAGACTGAATCATGTATTAAGCCTAAAACAAACTGTTATCTAAATTAAACCAAATGGAACCAAAATAATTAATGTATGATTTATTTCCCTAAAGGTGAATTTTCCCATCATTGTCACTCAGCTTGGAGTATTTGACAGTAATTCAGATGGAATCAAAAGTCAGCTGACAGTTCCTCTTTATGACAAAGCATCACAGGTAGGGGTATATACATTATATTTAAACAACTGTTTTTGGTCAACCATTGTTTAAGAAAAAATTGTCACCCTTAAAGGTATATAGCATCAATACTGTGACAGAAATTGTTCTCTAGATGTTTGGAAACAATTGCTTTTGTTGACATAACTCAAAGCTCAGGTATATTAAATGAGGACTTTCTCTAAAAGTAATGGCAGGGAATAAACCTCAAGACAATTCAGTGTGTAATTAATTCTTTGATCCTCTTTGCCTTGTTTGTAGGATTTCATTCTGTTTATGGCAGACACAGTCCCGGCCTGAAAATTCTCTTCTAAATGCATTTTTAATTTAGTGAGATCAGATGAATTAAGCTTTTTTTGTATTGGTAGATGGAAGTATTGAGTGTCAACTTCACCCAAGAAGAACCTGGAGAGTTAATTGGTGGAAGTAGATTTAAACCTGTTGACCAGTTTCTCCTGCCAAAGGTTGAATATGCTATGCATTTTAATTTACAAACCTATGTGCACCTAAGTCAAGGGAGGGGTGGGAGAGGATTTGTGTCCCAAATAGCCCATTTTCAAATTACCTTTGGCCTTTTTTTTCAAAAGGAGCCTGGTGCTCAGCCATTAATTTTGTTTAAAAATAAGTTTAATATACCTGTGAATGAAAACTTATTATCATATGAGAGGATGAGCACTAGGATTCATTTTAAAAAAGAGGCCGATGGTCATTCGGAAATGAGCTATTGCTTTTGCAAATGATTGTCCTAACAATAGATAGGAAAAAATATAGATCATTGTAAGTTTTCACGCGTATACAGTGTCTTGTTGAAAGCCGGCAAACAGCCATGCACACCACTTTTAAGTAAGATGTCATTTCGTTTCAGTAACCTTATCTGCTGGTTGACCTCATCTCCACTGGAATTCTTTTGATCATTGAGAATACGAAACATTGGCATTGGGATTTTGTGTGTTAGAATACGGAACGACTTCTCTGATTTTTTTTTCAGGGATTTGAAGGTTCCATCGTAGGGGAGAACTTCAGTTTGTCTGATCCTAGCAGTAACAACCCTTTGGTACATGGTGGATTAGACAGAGGTGGAGGTTTGGTTTCATTTCACAAAGTAAGTGACAAAGGGAAAAAAACAAAAGGTTGAGGCTGTGGTCAAATTCAATGTTTCTTCTTCCTTTTTTTTTTTCTTTTTTTTTACGCATGACCGATAGGTATAGAAATCAATAACGACAAACAAGCATTCAAACTAATCACTGAAAAAAACAAACAAACAATGTTTACAAAGCAGAAAGCATTGATGGGGACTACTGAGTTTCTGTATGGAGTTAAAGAATCGTTTCTGCCCAGGTTTTCAATAACTTTTTCCTTAAGCGATGGTTTGATCAGGGCGGCTGTGCCTAAAAGAGGGGACGTAATTAAGGCGAAAACCAAACACGAGAGCCTATTCGCAAGCTGAACAGGCGGTAATGAAAGGACTTTTAGACGACGTAAGACCACCGGTAACCGGATTTTAGTGAAACTGCCGATTTCTGATTCAAACCCTATCATTTATGGTGATGACGAAATGCATTGGGGCTCCTGAAACCATACCGCCATGATCAACACATTACAGCGCATTACTGCTCTTTCTGACACATCTGACCGTAAATATGATTCTCTGATTTAGTTTGCTTTTATGTTTTTTGTTTGTTTTATTTGTGTGTTTATTTGTTTTAGTAGAAATCAGCCTCAAAATCTAGATAATTTTAGTTTTAGACGGCCCTTTTATAAAACAGTTCAGTTCATTTGATTTGGTTTATAAATGAGGCGATGAAAGGGTCGTTTATGGTCTTGTTCAAGGTGAGTCGCTTTGGAGTGGAGCAAAGTGTTTTCCCAGAAGTGGAAGAAAAATTCTCTGAAGAAAACAACCAATACGGCGCTGGAACATTTATGTATCGTGCTTATGGTAAGGTCACTTTATGCGGCAAAAGATGGTGTTCTTAATACACAGGTGAAGTCTGTGCTCGAGCCAAGTGGCCCATCTAGCCACAATTTATCCCGGTTTTATGACGCGACTAGGAGTATTTAGCTCCCTGAACGGGATGCCAATCCAGTGCGAGGTAGCCTACGTGTAGCCGTACCCCCCCCCCACCTAGGAGAAACGGAAGGGAGAGGACGACATTCCCTCCCCCCTTCCGTTTCTCCTGGGGGGGAGGGTACGGTTACACAAAGGCAATCGTAAGGTTACCCTCCAGAATTTCACCAGGCTCGTTGTTATCTTCCTGGGTGGAGAGACTGGCACTGTGAAGAAATGTGTTTTGCCCAAGAGAATTAGTTTCTCCCGTAAGCGTCTGGTCGCTAGACAAGATTTCCAATGGCGGGGCTTCCACATTTGGAGACATTTTTACGAAAGTGGAATCTATTCTTTGGAATCTTACAACGCGAAGAGAAGTAGATTTTTAGATACATTTTAAAGCGGAGAAAAAGTCAAATGGTTTCTGGAGCATACTTGTCCTCTGAGATAGACTCCACGTAGCTGTCTTTAGTTCAAAGCAATGCGTTGAGTTCCTCAAGCAATTAGATTTTCAGTTGCAGATGGCGAATTCACGAGGAGAAAGGTGGAGGAGAGGAAGAAGGAAAAGGAGGAAAGAGCAAAAATGTGGCATGAAGTTATGTTGCGGGAAGAAAAAGAATTGAAACAAGAAATACGGCTGTATGACGATATTTTGATGGTGGATGTTGTAGATGTTTATCGCAACCTTCCATTGAAATTACTGAAATTTTATTACTGGTGAGAATTGTTGTTCTCACTGCAAGTTAACTTTTCCTACCAACGCTTATTATTGACGCTCTCGTTTTCTTCGTCTACTTTTTGTGTTTTCATTCGTTTTTGTTTTGTTCTTCCATTGTTTCTTTCGTTTGTAATGTCCGTTTGTCCTTTTTTTTCGTCGTTGGTTTCGGAGTAAAAGTTTCTCAGGCTCTGTCTTCATATAGCCACCCGATGGAAGAGAGAAATTGGTCAAGTCTGTTGGTACACTGAGGGAGAACACACCTGACCAATGTGACCAGGGTCTCTCTGTCTCACGTGAATGAACACAATCTACCCGTTTGTTCGATTGCTTGATCACTAGTTTGTCCTCCATGTGTTTTCTCTCGGTTTCACGTTTACCATGCTTTAGTCACTATTTTGCTCCTTTACTCTCTTCTACCCATGTTTGTTCTTTCGTGTTTTTGCTTCTCCGCCGACCCTTTTTGTTCCTGTCGATCTCTCGCCCCTCGTTTCAGTTTTTCCTCTTCCTTCGCTCCTCTATAATTCATGATTACGTCCTTGTCTCCTCTTGATACAATGTATTGTTTTTATATTTAATCAGGGTTGCGCTGAATACGAATTTTAACTTCACTCTCAAAACCGACGATGACTGCTTTGTGCACTTAGAATCAGTTGTCAAGGTAAATTTGGACTTAAACGTCAGTTTCAATCTTGTTTCCTATCATGTCGCGTATTTTCCTTGTTTAATGGCTGATAGTTTCGAAAGAAACTGTTTGGGGCTGCGTCGGTGGGAGTAACGAGTAACGTTTACTCTGTTCAGTTTTTTCTTAATTCGGTGTTCCAGGAACTCAAAGACAGAAAACTACGGGGGAAGGAACGCATTTGGTGGAGCAGGTATTTAACTGTGACTGACTCTAAAATATCCAATTCAACTTCAGTCGATACGGATTGCGGATGTAGGGCTGCTATTGAATTCAAAAGTACCTTGTGAACTTTGAGCAATGGCCATGTTGCTAACTAGTGGTTTTTGCAACCATGGGAACTTACAACGTTAAGGGTGGAAACTAATTCCATCGCACATTCTCAGTTTTACACCGTGACAGAGGTTTCGGTGTATGCCGCTGTAAACCCTTTTCGTCTCTCAACAGGTTTCGCACTGGTTGGCCAGTGGAGCGAGTGGGAAAATGGCGGGAACTTGACTACACCGCTCCGGTTTACCCGTCATTCGCTTGTGGCGCGGGTAATATGCTGTCTGCTGACCTAGTGAGATGGCTGGCGTTTAATGCCGTTAATCTTAAACCATACCAGGTAGTGATGAATCTCATTACAGCATGTATAATATTCCAGGGCCTTATGGAATAATGTCTCCGCAAAGAGAAATTTTCAATCGAGTATGGAAAGTGAAACGATGTTGTATTGTAAAAAGGCTGATAGTTTCTAAAGAAACTGTTTAGAGCTGCGTCGGTGGGGGTAACGAAATAATTTGGATCTATCAACCGAAAGTTGAAATGGTAAATTGGCCATCGTAACGATTTCAAAAGCTGACGTTTCGAGCGTTAGCCCTTCGTCGGAGCGAATAGAGGAATTGTGGGTTGTGTGTGCTTTTAAAGGCAGAAAATGGAGCTACGTTATTGGTGGGAATAATAACGTAACCAATAGCGTAGCTCAATTTTCTGCCTTTAAAAGCACACACAACCCACCATTCCTCTATTCGCTCCGACGAAGGGCTAACGCCCGAAACGTCAGCTTTTGTAATCGTTGCGGTGGCCAATTTATCATTTCAACTTTGTTGATGTTGTATTGTATTTGCTTCGTGACTGGTATATAAAAAAAACTCTCTTTATGCTCTGAACCACGAGGCTCAAGACTACATCTCGACTTGTTCACGGCATTTTAGCGCGCTTGAAGCTGTTTCCAAATAATTTACTTCAAGTTCTAGGTTCCTTATGTTGCCCAACCTTGTTCTGTCCTAATTGGCTGTGGGGATTACTTTGGTTTTGGGTTTACGCTATTTAATCAAAAAGCGCTTTACACCACCCACTATCTGTATTCAATTCTACTCATTGCCTCTACAGGGTGAAGATGTGTCGGTTGGAATCTGGCTTTCGGCCTTGGGACCAAACTTAGTCAATGTAAGTTTGTTTTTTTTTTTCCCTTTCTTTTGAATATATTTTCACAAAGATCGCGTTCAAGGTTTTTTTTTTTTTTTTCGTTGTTGCGATTACACCCTACTATCTCATAGGTATAAATCTTGAATACAGTTGAACTGCGAGAGACAAAAACGCATGTTAGGTACTTGAATCCACGATGTTTGCCGGGTTTGACCTCTAATGCTACATGAATGTGGACTTTTCTCTGAAGGATTACCGCTGGTCATGTGGACGCGAGTGTGATACGGGAATTTTCACTTCCCCCGAAAATGAACCCGAGGAACTGCGAGAGATGTGGGCTGATCTACAGACATGTGGGGATCCCTGTGGCTGTTCATAGACCTGTGTTTGGAATCATGGGGAACTCACTGGCTCTATAAAAAGTAGATCATAAAGTTTATTGAACTTTAGAAGTGATTACTTATGAAGTGGTTTCCTTTTGACTAAAAGACTACTTCAAGAACTTCGGGACACCTCGGGACACACCTCGTTCTAGAAGTTACCTTCTCGAGTAATGAGAGTTATAACTAATGAACCGATTGAATTACTTATACGGTTAGTTTACAACAGTTAAAGTATTTGCGTTAAATAATTTTGGAAATTGTTAAAAACTTGTGTTGAAACAAGTTTCACACGACCCTTTTAGTATATGTATATTTCTTTAACTAAGAAAAACGTAGCCAACTTTTAGCGAGAAAACGACATTTGAAAGTCATCGTAGTACTATAAAATAGTCAAAGCCAGGGAATCCCTCTCCTATTTAAGGAGTAAGGTTACGTTTTGTCATCATTAATTCCCTTTGTTCTCAAAGCGTGTAGTGCGGTTGTTATCTCCTTGTTGAATTCATTGCTAAAAGATAGACTGAAACACTCTTCTGTCTCAAGAAATCGGTTCTAGATTCATTTAAAACTAAAATCATCCCTTTAAAATGCTTTAAAATTACGAGTTAACAGAAAAGAAATATTGACATAATCAAGTTACTGTGCGAAGTATTAGACAAATAACCACAGCTCGGGATATGGTGGAAGCGGATTCGTCTGCTGTTACGGGGTCTGGATTAATGTGGGAGTTTTTTTTTTAAATAAACAGTGTCCTAGTAAGGTCCTTTAATAATAATAATAATAATAATAAATATGATAATAAACAGTTTAACGTGGAGAAACACTTAGCTAGAAGCTAGTTTACAGGTTTTCCACGAAACAACTTAAACAAATAATTCAAATAGAAAATAACGTTAAGAATCCCAACTGGCTGAAGGCAAACCAGTTGGCTATATTAAAAGCATGGAACCTTTAGGAACTTCATCTGACATAGCTGGAGCAATTATAAAATGAGTGTCGATCGTGATCCGGGATTGCTTTGTTTTTACTTTACTTCGCTCACTGATTGGTTCAGAAAACTCGTGACACTCTCTCCCAACCAATCAGATACAAAACCTGAAACAAGGACGGCTTGGTAGCTCGCGTTTTCCCGCGCTTCAAGCAGTTTGGTCAGTTTAAGTTACGTTGAGTTCTCATTGGCTCTTAGTGGTATTTTCATTTCTTCCGATCGGCCTCTGTGGTTAATTCGGTTTTGGTTTTAGGACACTCAGTCGAAAACTGTTCCAATAGAAAGAAATCTCTAATCAGTGAGCTTTTTAACAAAGGTTCAGAACTGTTGGTTTTGCGAGGCACTCTGACAGGTATTTAAGCACAAAGTTAACCGTAACTGAGATTCATGGTGTTAAGTTTTGCTGGGAAACCTCTCTGCGTTTCCCGGAAACCGAATGGAGGGAGGATGATGAAGATGATGCCGGATTCAGCTCCTGTGGTGAAAAACTCACGCACTGATTTTCAATAACTTCGGGTGTCAGATTCTGGGGAAACTTTTCCTTGTCTCGTTCGCAGTTAGGCAGCTGTGATGGCGGCAGCTGTAATGACAGTCGTTTATCTTTCAGATCTTTTCTTGTATCTGTAGTGGGTATGGTGAAAGCACTCTGTCGACGGCCAGAGGTTATATTATCTATTGGATGGTTGTCATCTGTCATAAGGCGAGACTGAAGAACAGCCAGTTTTTCACTCAGTCGCCGCATCTCGTCCTTTTCAGAAAATAAACAAATATAAGTTTAAAGGTAAACTAAGCTATACAATTTAGTCGCTCCGTTTATGGAGCTTGAAGAGCAAGCAAAGCAATTCTCTCTCGAGTTTCAAGTGTGATATAGCTCGTGATGATTTCGGCATTGGGGAGGCTGAACAACTCACCTGTTCTCAAAACGCCCATGCATTCAGCTACGTGTGACATGTTTCAAAATTTTATCTCTTGAAATGAATCGTCATATTAACCGAATTGGGTGGCAACGAAGAATTCAACTTGTCAGCAGCAGCCGTTTAACAGATACAAACTTGAAACGTTCCAACTTGGTCATTGAACTTTTAAATCTAAATTGCGTGGAGGGTTTCGACTTTGTCACCTTTACATGTATTAGGTGGGTTTGTGTCATGAAATTGATTCTTTTTTTCTGTTGGTTCATTTTTTATCTGCTCCTTTCAGCCGTTTCATCTTAATTAATGTCGATGTGCCAATGCAGCGTGAGAATCCAAAAAATTAATGCATTAGCGTGAGTTCCAGATTTTGGGTATCTGACGACACCGATTGATTCAAAAATGCGACCGAGAAGTTAATTAGTAATCGCTTGAGTCAGCGTACGCAATTTCATTTTACTTATCTAATAAAGGCACCTCCGACCATCTTGGAAGAGAAGAGTCAGTGTCTTACCTTCAACACTTGGTTCTCTTTTATCAATAAGTCCTCTTGATTAGGGGGCATTCTTTTTACAACAATCTCGTCGTCCGGTACAAGTATGTTGTTATTGTTGGATGGAACCGTGTTATTCACTGATCTTTGCATTTGGCGTAGCAACAAAAACTAAAGGAAAGGAAAAGTACACACTGAAGATGCTGCAGTCTGAAGAAAATGAATAAAGTCTCACAGCGGTCTTACACATAAAAGTACACACTGAAGATGCTGCAGTCTGAAGAAAATGAATAAAGTCTCACAGCGGTCTTACACATAAAAGTACACACTGAAGATGCTGCAGTCTGAAGAAAATGAATAAAGTCTCACAGCGGTCTTACACATAAAAGTACACACTGAAGATGCTGCAGTCTGAAGAAAATGAATAAAGTCTCACAGCGGTCTTACACATAAAAGTACACACTGAAGATGCTGCAGTCTGAAGAAAATGAATAAAGTCTCACAGCGGTCTTACACATAAAAGTACACACTGAAGAAAATGAATAAAGTCTCACAGCGGTCTTACACATAATTAAATACCATTTCTTATTTAACAGTTCGCCACCTCAGCCATTTAAAAGACGCCCTGTAAAGCTCTAGAAATCCCTGTCTTTGATCTGGTGCCCTTCCTTACTTAGACAAAATTAAAGTGTTCTTTTTCATTAGGGGTTGGTGGATTTTAAGTCTAAATTAAGTTGTATTTGAAAGTTGGGGCGGATCCAGGATTTATTTAACGGGGGTTCGGAGAATTGTCCGAGGGCATGCTTCCCCTGGAGATTTTGAAAATTAGGTCTTCGGAAAAATGATTTCCAGCATTTTGAGGGACAATTTAGGGGGTTCGACCCAACCACCCGAACCACCCCTGGATCCGCCTCTGGAAAGTCAGTTTTAATGTCCGTTTATAGTACGGTGTTTTTTTTCAGCCAAGAAAACGCACAATGCACACGATAGCACAAGGCTGGTTGGCAGTTGGATGAAATGCAGGGGAACCTTGCTATAGACTAGCATTCCATCCAGGGGGGAGTAGAAGTACTCCCACACGCTTCACGTTACATGGAAAGCGGGGTAAACTGCGCCTGCATGGGTGGGCCATGGCTAATAAGGTCGAGTACAGACTTTACTTTACCTTGTGGATGAACATCAGAATTAACACAGTGGAACAGTCCATGTGAATCAGAACAAAGTCCAGAGCATACATCATGTCTGGGTTGGTTGTTCTTTTCGTCGTGATCCTAGTATCAGTAGCAACATTTACATTTAAAAGTAAGATTAGGATATGAATATTATTTCCATATTTATTCACCCGAGTACACAGTTGTAATCAGTTGACGTGGGCTCATGAAATGCTGAGCAGGTGAAAAATAACAAGCAGAGGAACGAAACTTAAAAAATGCTCACTCAAACAATGAGGGAAACTTACGTTAAGACTTGGCAGATCATCAATGAGTTGAATTTGAGAAAAACACTTCAGGAATTCATCAATAAAAGAGAGACATTCGACGATAAGAGTCTTTGAGATCTACATGGAATGTCTTTTACTCAGTTCAGGGACTACGCGTCGAGTATTGCGGGCGCTTTTCTCCATTTGCGCTGGGATCGACAGAGCTGAATAACGTATACGCATGCGTTAAGTTTTTCCGCGGAAACACGGACTTTGAGTCGTTCGCATGAGTGATTTCCTATTCTGTTACTTGGAGGAGTCGTTTTTCTTGCCGCTTTTCTTTTACAGAACAACCTTCAAAAACTTTGTACACCCCCTAAAAAATTTCAACAAATTAATTTCCTCCTTAAAACCGCTGGAAATAGGAAAGTGCCTTCGAAGGAAACAGAGTTCCTAGGTTTTAAAAGTCAGCCCTCATTACTTTCCACTAATTTCGCGAAATTTTAGACCTAAGACTTTTGAGCCCGCTTTGTTGACCGCGTACCCTCTGACGTAGCATTTCATTATTCAGCTCTGTCGCTTGGATCTGTTGAATAGCTTAAGAGGAATTTTTTTGCAAAGGGGACTATACATAGGAGTTTTAGTCTGTTAGCTTAATCCTCTATAAGTTACAAGGAAAAATGACACCCCAAAGTGTATTTCATGTAGTCTTACACTAACCTTACTACCATAAGGAAACTGGTGACGAACATGGCGTTATAAATGGCCCAACTGATGTACTTGCTCTCGTTGTAAGCTGCTGGTGCATTTCTGATCTTGTAACAGAGCCACATCCCCCAAATCAACACCGCAATGTCCCCGGCTGAAAATGATTTACGCTCGTTAATCATGATGAAAACAAATCTTTGTTTTTTTTTTAGCAGGGAGTGAGTATGAAATGTAGATTTAGGTTTACTTGATTCTTCTTCGTAATTGGTGGGGAACGACCCGTTTTTTCAACGAATCAGTTAAACATTATATATCGATTTCACCTCCCTAGTTCTCCGCGCTTGGGGATGGCTTCGTGGTTTCTACATCATTCTGAAAGAGAATGGTGCGTTCGTAATGAACCTCGATAAGACCATCACCTTCTGACCCCGGTTGCTCGAAAGGTTGATAACGCTATCCATTGGATAATTCTCTATCCGGTAGATAGCGCGATACGTTTTGCTAACACTTAACCAATGGACAGCGATTTATCCGTTGGATAGCGTTATCCGCTCCACGAACAACAGGGCCCTGTTCGACAACTGCTACTTTCTTTGTTTATACAAAACCGTGAGTAAAGTGTGAATCAGGATCTCAAGGAGGAATCTGAATCTCATCTAATCATATTTACGGTTCACAATGTGCCAGTAAACAAAGCGAATGTAGGATTAAGTGTCAGTTGTGTTCTCATTGGCTCTTTTTGATATTAACCTTGTTTCAATTGGCCATCGTGAGTAGCGGAGCTCGTTGCGCGCAAGGCAAGCGCGCAGCGAAGTCCCATATTAAACATGATAATGATAATAGCAATAAACACTGCTACTTTTAACGTGGGAAATTTTTCAAAAAAAGTGCAAATTTAATTGTAGCTTAATTATATTAGTTACTTACCGAATACGATTGTAAAGTTAAACCAATTCTCTACACAGCGTGTATACTTCAGGTCATCGGATGTCCTCACCACTTCAATGTCTGGTGGCGCCATTGCACTCCATACAGAGAGATAAGCGGAGTATAAAAGCACCAATAGACCCAGGCGCCTCAGCAGTACTCCGTCTGATAAAGCGAGCTTCTGGGCCGAGCGCACTCGAAATATTAATGCCACCCTATAAAGAACTAGCATCAGTCTCTAGAGTTTATCTGTCTGTCTATATTTCTGTCTGTCCATATTTCTGTCTGTCCATATGTCTGCCTGTCTTTCTGTTTGTGTGACGGACTGTCTGTCCGTATTTATCAGGCTTGTCATTATCTGAGGGTGGCAAAGGAATGATGGCTTTTTCTGTCTACTGGTTAAAAGTTTTGCAATTGTTCGGCTCCTGCTTCTGGTTAAAATTCGTCAATGTTTACGCCTAACGGCTAAATTGTTTTGCCGTTTTACGGCTGACAGTTAACCCTATTGAAAACCTCATACTGGCTAGCTATTTCGTCAGTTTACCTGTCTTCCAGTAAGTCTTTCATTTTACCTTTCGCCAGCTCGTTCGTTTGTGTGCCTATTGACTTCTCTATAGAAAAAAATACAGTACGAAATGAAAAACGCAGGCATACCTCCATGTTTTCAGCGCCAACGATCCATACACCAGGACAAATCCAATATGACGCAACCAAGGTCTTGCAATACAACGAAGGGTTGTCGGTTCGAAATATGAAACGATGAGCTGGAAAAAGACACGAATAATCACGCTTGAAAACGACTGTGGAATAAGGTTACAGAGAAACAAATATGAAGGTTGAAAGCTCACCATTGAGTACATTAACATAGTGCCCAACGATATTATTTCCATGAAGCGCGGGCTAGAAGCCTTGAAAATCTGAAAACAAAAACCCACAGACGAAGATGAAAATTAAAAAAACAAAACAAAGACAGGTTCTGTAGAAGCTAATGAAAAAAAAAAAGAAACTAATTGTGTAGTATTTTTCAATGTGAATGTTCCTTTTTCAGAATCACTAATAGTTTTGAACATACGGGATAATATGAACGCGGCACATGATACACCTCATACAGCTCCCTGAAAATACTGAAAAGCCAATAGCAAACTAATGTGCGGCGGTCAACTTATTCGTGATAGTTTCGTCACACTTGCTTGCACAGCGATGGCATCCAAACATTTGGCGTCGCGATATGCTTGGTTCTATGCTGCTACACACAATATGCGGTCTCTCGAAATGAATAATGGTAAATTAACAAACCCTTTCCTTCCAGTGTATACACACGTATACAGCAAACACCACAGCCACACAGATAACAAGTGCATTTAGAGCAAACAGCGTCAAACGAATATAAATATTAGAGCTGTAAACGCATGGTCTGTCATCAACACACTCGTCGCATCCAACGCTGCATGGAATGCATTCGAAGTCTTCATCGTAAGAGTTTGGGTCGCCCCGTAGGTGTCGATCGTGTTCGAGCTCAATGAGGGTTCCGTTAAAAACCTTCACAGACGCCTGACTGTCCGGGAAGTAAAAGCCTCGCTTACATGTGCATATGTAGCTCCCTCGCTTTAATCCTTGATTCTTGATTGCGTGACACTGTTTCAAGAAACACAATAAGAGTGGAGGCCGTTGCCAAGATACAGTCAGTCTCTTTTTTACGTACTTGACCTTCCTAGTCAGGAATCGTATTTAGTCAATCTCGTAGTGTCTATCTTACTTGCATGATACAGAGGTAAAAAAGTCTACTCTTGAAAAACATGGCTCACATCCGGCTTTCATCGCTTGAGGCGGCTAGGAGTTTACCTATTCGAATTCCTAGTCCATAACTTGTCCCTCATGGATTTTTTCATTAGGTTTTCCTAGTTATTTACTTCTATTCATTTATACTCCCGGTTAGAGAGAAGCGCTCTTGCCTGAGAACAAAACGCAGCTACTCAGCCTCTGAAAAGCTACTGGATGTCAACTAAGAATATTCTCCTCTAAATAAATGTTATTATTATCCACACCTTGCAAACCACTTATTTACGAAAGTAACTTCAGAGACGGATCCTGATCCGAACAAACCAGCCTTTAAAGTTTAAGGCTAACTCGTTTCCGTCATTTAAACTCGGGAAAACATATACCACCAAAACTGTTCCCAACATCATATACACCAGAGCTAAATCGTTTCCTTTCATTCTTTTTACCTTTCAAGACATAAAACTTTTACCTCAGTTGATTTCTTGCAGAGATGAGTGCCCATGAATTCCACTAAATTCCCCGATGCATATCCAAGTCCATTCCCATCTCCTTCATCAGATCCAGACGACTCCCGCTCGTCACATTGATTGATGTCAATGTCACTAAGTACCACATCAATACTGACTACTCCCCTAGCAACCATAAAACAATGTCGTTTAGAGATTGGATTGGAAAGTATGCGTCTGCTGTCGTTTTTTTTTTTTTTTTTTTTTTTTTTTTTTTTTTTTTTTTTTTCTTTCTTTTGTGTGTGTGTGTGTGTGTGTGTGTGTGAAGAAATGTTCGTTTTTGAGAAAAGAAAAAAAAAGAAATGACATAGTAAGTGACAGTTATGTAGAGCAATTTTCAGGCAAGTATCGAAAGAACTTCTACTTCTACCTTATTTGATAAAGCGTATCAACGCATCGCATCAATATGAATACAATAAATTAATAAATAAAGGATAAATAAACACTAATAATAAAATATATATGTGATAAAAGAAATTTTTTAATCGGAATTACAAAGCTTTTTGATCCGGAATTGCATTGCTTTTGCTTTACTTCGCTCTGTGATTGGTTCAAAAGTCTCGCGCTACCATCTTGACCAATCGGGAGCAAAACTACTAACTAGTCTCGTCTTGGTCGCGCGCGTTTTCCCGCGTTTTACTGAGGTAGTTTGGTTCGTTTTACTTGGAGTTCTCACTGGCTCTTATTGATTTTTTTCCTCTCCCGTTATGGACCGTTGTCACTACTTTGTCTTTGGTTTTGAGACACTCAACCCAAAAACGCTTTACATGTACATGCTCGACCACAATTATAAAAACTTGGTATGTTTCGTCATTCTTAATCGCCCACTTTTCAAGGCCTTAAACGCACTAGCACCTTTAGATATCAATATTGTCATTAAGTACCGACCTTCTTCTATACATATTGTCGTGGCACAGTGCAGCAGAGATTGGGAGCATGCATAGTGTCAGCAGCATGAAAAGTTGCATTCAAAATGAGCATTTTACCTTAAGGCTCGATTTTGAGCGGCAGCTTTTAACTGGTGGGAT